ACAATAGCCGGTATACAATAGACGACATACTATAGACGACATACAATAGACGACATACAATAGAAGAATTTAAAAGACGAAATACAATAGCCGGTATACAATAGACGACATACTATAGACGACATACAATAGACGACATACAATAGAAGAATTTAAAAGACGAAATACAATAGCCGGTATACAATAGACGACATACTATAGACGACATACAATAGACGACATACAATAGAAGAATTTAAAAGACGAAATACAATAGCCGGTATATACAATAGACGACATACTATAGACGACATACAATAGACGACATACAATAGAAGAATTTAAAAGACGAAATACAATAGCCGGTATACAATAGACGACATACTATAGACGACATACAATAGACGACATACAATAGAAGAATTTAAAAGACGAAATACAATAGCCGGTATACAATAGACGACATACTATAGACGACATACAATAGACGACATACAATAGAAGAATTTAAAAGACGAAAATACAATAGCCGGTATACAATAGACGACATACTATAGACGACATACAATAGACGACATACAATAGAAGAATTTAAAAGACGAAATACAATAGCCGGTATAACAATAGACGACATACTATAGACGACATACAATAGACGACATACAATAGAAGAATTTAAAAGACGAAATACAATAGCCGGTATACAATAGACGACATACTATAGACGACATACAATAGACGACATACAATAGACGACATACAATAGAAGAATTTAAAAGACGAAATACAATAGCCGGTATACAATAGACGACATACTATAGACGACATACAATAGACGACATACAATAGAAGAATTTAAAAGACGAAATACAATAGCCGGTATACAATAGACGACATACTATAGACGACATACAATAGACGACATACAATAGAAGAATTTAAAAGACGAAATACAATAGCCGGTATACAATAGACGACATACTATAGACGACATACAATAGACGACATACAATAGAAGAATTTAAAAGACGAAATACAATAGCCGGTATACAATAGACGACATACTATAGACGACATACAATAGACGACATACAATAGAAGAATTTAAAAGACGAAATACAATAGCCGGTATACAATAGACGACACACTATAGACGACATACAATAGACGACATACAATAGAAGAATTTAAAAGACGAAATACAATAGCCGGTATACAATAGACGACATACTATAGACGACATACAATAGACGACATACAATAGAAGAATTTAAAAGACGAAATACAATAGCCGGTATACAATAGACGACATACTATAGACGACATTTAAAAAAAAAATCTCGCTCTGAGTTGACCCTGTTCAAATTGAACAAATAACAGTAAACATCCACAAGACCTCATCAGCAGACTCAACAGAAAGCAACATACAACAATTTTCCGTCTACGAACAGGAGGACACTGCAGGCTCAATTACAACATGCATAAAATACATATTGTACAGTCCCCACAGTGTGCCTGTAAAACAGGACCCCAAACACCTGAGCACATTCTGCAGACCTGCCCACTTTTCATACAACCTCGAAAAGACACCTGGCCTCAAGAGCAAAGTGTGCAGAGCAAGCTATGGGCAACCACGAAGGACCTGCAGCTGACATGCGAGTTCATAGAGGCAACCCACCTAATGGTCTGATCTGAGCATAAGAAACCGAACGCAAAGAAGAAGAAGGAATTGACTACGTACTACAGGCGACATTCAATAGAAGGCATAAAATAGACGGCATACACTAGAAAGCATAAAATAGACGACATACAATAAAGGCATAAAATAGACGACATACAATAAAGGCATAAAATAGACGACATACAGTAGAAGGCACACTTAAGACGGCATACCATACGCGATATACAACAGACGACATACAATAGAAGGCATACGATAGAAGGCGAACAGCAAAAGAGGAGACTGATGTAGAAACAAGACCAAGAACTAGGCGGAAAGTTAACATCAGAGAAACCCAACAACAGCACGATGTGTTTATGATCAAGGCAGTCAGAAGAACAAGAAGCAGTAT